ATCAAACCAAAGACATTCAAATGTAATTTCAACTGCTATAAAAGTTTGAACTTCTAAAAATGATTTAAAATTTCAATGCTATAAAAAATTTGTAAACAGCACACCTATATGCCATCCTAAGCACTGGAACATTGGTTGGGAAGCTTTGCATAGTATTTTTTCAACAGAATGTCATAATTAAACACTAATTTGATATACCTACCAAGATCTTTCCAAGAACACTTTTTTTTTTTTTTAAGACAAACAGTCTCACTTTGTCAGGCTAGAGTACAGTGGTGCCATCTCTGCTCACTGCAACTTCTGCCTCCCAGGTTCAAGCGATTCTCCTGCCTCAGCCTCCCAAGTAGCTGGGACTACAGATGCACACCACCATGCCCGGCTAATTTTTGTACTTTTAGTAGAGATGGTGTTTCGCCATGTTGGCCAGGTTGGTCTCGAACTCCTAACCTCAGGTGATTCTACCAGCCTCAGCCTCCCAAAGTGATGGGATTACAGGAATGAGTTACCATGCCCAGCCCTTCTCAAGAACATCTAAAGGAAATTCAAACCAAAGGTTATCAAAGGAAGAATTACAATACTGAAGTGTCTGTTAATAATCTGGCCCACACTAGCTTCTTAATTTGGTACAATTTCCATAATACCTACAATCTGTAACATTCATTTTGACTTAATAAGAATAGCTAATCTTCATGAAGCTAGTACTATGTGCCAAGCTGTGTTCTGCTTTACATCATTATCATATTTAATCCTCACAGCAATCCTAGAAGTAGCTCTATTTTCTCCATTTTAAAGATAAGAAAACTGAGGCCAAGAGAAATTAACTTTCCCAAGGCTATAACTAGCAAATGGGAATTAGGATTTGAAGCAGTCTGACTTCAGGACCCATGCTATTAATCACCATGTTAAACTATACCCCCATAAGAAAATATATCATGTGCCAGGAGACACAAGGATAAGTAGATAGATCTCAACTTAAACTAAGTTCCATAGTGATAAAGTAAAAACGACTTGCATCTACAGCAAAGGAGATATTATTCAGGAAAAAGAAAACTGTATACTGTTTTGGGTACATTTTGCTTACAGAAATAGCATAGAAGATAATTTTAATTTTCTATGTGTGTTATGATATGGTTCAAGCAAGAACATATGTTTCTGCAAACTATTTGAATTTCTGGATTTAACTTGCTCAAGAATATTAAAAAAAAAACTTACTTAAAAAAGAATGAAGATAAAAATTGAAAGCAAATATGTTTAGTACTTTGATTTTTACTCACTGCTTACTCAGTTCCCTAAGTCATCAAGTGTCTAATTCTGCTTTTAATTAAATGCACTATTTGTAAAATCCTGAATAAAAATTCTTCTAGACATATGGACAAGTTCCGCCTGTCCAAATTGTGCCTGCCTAATCCTGCCTTTTGGAAGAAAGTCTCAAAAGTTTCCAACTACCTTACAATAAGCTGATGTCCTGAGGGTATCTCTGTTGGTCAGTGTAAATCAAATCACTCATAGAAGATGAGAATACATCTTTAATTTCATAACCAATAAATCAATAAAGAAAATGTTGGCCAGGCGCGGTGGCTCACGCCTGTAATCCTAGCACTTTGGGAGGCTGAGGCAGGCGGATCACGAGGTCAGGAGATCGAGGCCATCCTGGCTAACACGGTGAAACCCCGTCTCTACTAAAAACACAAAAAATTAGCCGGGCGTGGTGGCAAGTGCCTGTAGTCCCAGCTACTCAGGAAGCTGAGGCAGGAGAACGGCGTGAACCCGGGAGGCAGAGCTGTCTCAAAAAAAAAAAAAAAAAAGTGAATGCCCTAAATATTATAGTTTATATCAAATTTCTCAAAGGCCCCAAGGACCAATGTTCAACATTTGCTGGCTCAGGCTGGTTAACAGTAAATATTTAAGGAGCACCTACTATGTACCAGGGACCATGCTTATCTACTTGTTATACAGACAGTGGCAGTCTAAAACAATTTGAACTCGCATCTTCTGAAAGTTCAAGTATACAAACCGGAAGCTTAAGCTCCAATACATAACTTTCCCTTTATAGTATATCCAAAAAAGCTATTACCAGAGCTTCTGCAATCTACAACCAACCAAATACGTTAAGAAGAGACTACCGGGGCACTTAGCATGTCCTAGAGTACAAAATTAGTCTTGGGTTACAATGGTACATTCTGTTCTCTGGAGCTTTATACCACGAAAATTTAGCACTTCCCCTAAAGTGACTCCTTTTCCTCAAAAATCAATTGTTTTAAAAAGTAAATTTCTATTGCTTACAGAAACCCCTACTCCTACTTATTCATCTCTAATGGAAATACTACCCTAGAAAATACTAATAATGAAATGTGGCTTGATTTATTAGTAAGCTAATGCCAGGATTCTTTGTATGATTTACTGAGCCTCTCAAAAATTTTAAAACTCATGTTGAGTAAAACACATCCGACTGCACAAAAAAAGCCACTTAAAACGACTATCAGATAATATAAACAGTAATTCCTGAAACCAATGGTTTTGCTTTGAAGAGGCCAAAATGGATACAACAGCCACCAGAAGTCTACCACAGTCTTTACAGTAAATATGTCCAACTCTGTAACTTATCCTAAGGTAACTATTCCAACTGCACATCATCTATAGCAACTGTTCAGCACTCTCCAATGTGTAATCTCTTGTTCACTATATCTTCTGCTACAAACCTCAAACAAATCATTCTTTAAATTTCTTTAGCTCACACCATTTCCGATCCTTTTATAAAAACAGAAGGCGTTATAAAACCTTGAAAATAAAAATGATAGAAAGCGGTGGAAAGGTAGAGATGGCCTCTGCACCCAAACTCTTTTCCTTTATACTTGATAATTTGTCATTTATCTCGTCTACCTACCTTCATGTTCCTGGATAATCCAGGGTTCCTCCAACAGTTCAAAAGGCTCTCTCATTAACAAATGTCAACGTCCTTATGTGACCATTCTGTTCCAGTCTCTATACCATCCATTCAAGCCTCCTAGCTTTATCCTGCCAAAGAACCACGACGCTCCAATCTCACAAACCATTACCAACACGCTCCAACCCAATGTAAAACCTTCCCGAGTATCAACTCTTCCTTTATGAGCTTTTCCCATATTCCTACTCCCTCAATATCCTACCTGCCCATACTCCCAAGTCTCTCTGCTAAACGCAATTCCAGTCCGGAGTCACACCCTCTACAGCCTAATTCCCGCAACCCCAAAACCCCACCCCCCTCATCACGCCCTCTGGGGCCTCAGCTATGAACCCCAACACCCCGCCCCACACCCGGCACGCCCTCCAGATCCCTTTAGAGTCCTTTTCGTCGGCCCGACTAGACCCCGTTCAGGCCTTCCAAGCGCCTAGGCTCTCCCGACCACCACTCAGTCCCCGCCTCCAGCCCCTCACCGAGTAGCAGCAGCTTCACTTCTTTGGCCGCTTTTTCCCCGTCCTCCCGTAAGTTGCGGTCGATCATCTTGCTTCGCTCCACTGCCGCCTTGTCTTCGGCGCTCAACGTGCAGCCCATGGCGGCGGCGGAAGAGGGGACACCTGCCCGGGCTCACTCACACACCGCGGGAACTGCGGCTCGGCAGGTTAAGGTAGCGTCTACTGCTGGGCGGCGGCCCTCTCCGTCAGCTCCCTTAGCGCCCTGAAGAACCGGATATCCGGCGTTTACGACACTTCCGGCGACGCCCCGCAGCCTTCACTGTTTAAACCACTCTCCTCGGGGAGAGGAGTTGAGACCGAAAGCGGAAGTCACGGGGACCTGGCGGCTAGGTTGGGCGGCGGATCTATAGTTTCGAGGTTCTGTTAAGTTCACTGCCCGCCGTCCAACTTGAAGCCTCATTTACCTTTCGGCTACCTGATTTGGATAAATGGAGAAAAACCGGGGCCTCCAACAAATAATGCCCTCCCGCGTTCAAAATGCCAGTTTTGGGGCGGAGATGTCTAAATTAAAGCCTACATCCCGCGCGGGAATTTCTGCTGATAATTTCTCTGCTGTTAGAAAACTCCTTTGATCTCTTGCTCTGGAGACTCGGGGCCCCTACCCAAGTTTGGGACACTGCCTCTGTTGGGGTTGTATCGGATCAATGGAATGGGAACAAGCTGCCCGGCCTGGGCGCCGTTCACGTCTCACATCTGAGACCGTAACACCGACTGTGTTCAGGACCTTAGCAATATCTTTTTGCCCTCTCTGGCCCACTGACTCCTCTCAAAATGTCCCCTGGTCCTTATACCTTTCACGTTTTTTTGTGGGCTTGAGATTTGCTTAACTCCTATGTTGGCAAAAGGCCACATGAAATCACTAGCAGATACTCGATGACCTTAAAGTTAAGCCTGTAGTTCCTCCATAAAATTTCCATGCTGCCCTTCTCTCCAGTATAATTCATATCTTCCTACCTTAGGGTCTTAGAACTAAAACCGAGATAAGTCAACTTCAGTTCCACACCCTGAAACAAACCAATGCATCCTGTGAATCTCCTATTAAAATTTCCTGTTGCGATTACATACAAAAGGAGAAATTCTAGTAAAATTTGCCTCTCAGCCCTATTCTCACCTGAAACTTAAGTCCACTGTGAAAGCCCCAGGCCGATAGCATCTTTCACTAATAACCCTGGATACTGCGTGAAGGTAGTCGTAAATGAACTTTTCAGGCAAATAAGCCCATAATAACTATACATTCTAGGGAAGGGAACTCAGTCCCTAAAACCTTTCCCTGTGATTGTAAATTACTTTCTTTCTCTAATAGAATCTGAACTTGAGAATGTAAGGTCCCAACAGAGAGGGCTATATAGTGATGATTCATTAATTAGAAGGATTTAATTAGAGGATTAGAGCCACTTTAAAAAGCCTCGTCCACCATAACTCTTAGCAATGCCAATTCTTCAAGGTTTGAATAGTCCCCCAGTCATTCCCAAATGACTGTTAGAATGAAAGGGACCGCTTTTCCATTATCAATACTTTTGGGGAAAAAGGGCAAGAGGAAAGGGAAGTAAAACCAATATTTATTGAGTACCTATTTGCCAGATATGGCTAGGTGCTTCCACATCCCATCTCTTAATCCTCACAACAACCCTGTGAGGTAGGTAATAAAGATCCCCATTTTTACAGGTGAGGAAGTAGGCTCAGAGAAATTAAGCAGCTTTCCCAACTTCACACAGTGAGTAAGTAGATCTCTCTGACCCCAGAGTTACCTTTTTCTATCATGCCCCTCTACGATATTGCCTGGGGACACCTGACAACAGAAAGTCTAAGGTTTTCATCTAGGATTGGGAGTTACCCCAACACCAGCAGGATGCAGGAAAAAGTAACTGACCGGATGGTTGCCTCAATCTGTTGATTCTTCAGTGAGTTAGCTCAGATTTTGTCCAGGAACAGCTTTCAGAGCCAAAGATTACGTATTGAACTTTACCAAGGCATCCTGGTGACTAGAAAACTCCTGGAAGGTGGTCATAGCAGAAATTGTTGGGAAAGTTCTCAGCATAATAAAAGAGAAATTTTTATTTCCTTCATGATCCACTCCTACAGGGAAAAATAAATGGCAAATGAACCCATGTATGTCAAACTCTGTAATAAACACCAGTGAGATCACAGTGTCAGGAAATTTCAGCCTGAATTAAAGATACCCTTAGTCTTAAAACTTTCTTCTTTGATGTATGTGAAGGAAGGGTTGGAGGGCAAAGTCAAAGGAAAAGGCAAAATAAATTAACAAAATGGCTGCCAGGCAATGTTTAATGCCCTCCCCTTCCCCCTCCCACCACATACACTCGCGTTTCCTCCTTCCATTGGACTCACACTGCCACCTGCTGGCAATGCTTTGTATCTAATAGCTGATTAGTGGTGTTGGAAAGAAGTTTTTTTCCCTGTCTAGGAATGATTGATTCCTCAGTATGCATTTATTTTAATAGGGAGGAGAGATGAACATGTTTTTCAATCACAAACGACTCTCCTCCCTATATATACTATGTTTTTAGGTGACTTCCTCAATGTAATAGGCACTAGACTGGTATAATAATCTAGTGGTAGGAAGACAAACCTAGAAATTTTCCTACAACAAAGGGGGAAAGCTGTTTGCCCAGTTTCATTTAATTTTTTTTTTCTTCATTAGAGAGTTTCATTTACAACCCCTATGCTTTCTACAATCTGCAGGAAGCTTCCAGGTATGCATCTTGCTGCCATGGGCTGAACTCTCAGAAGTTAGAACCATGGACATATTCTCCAGTATATTTCTCAAGCACATTCTGTAGTGCTTTATCAGATCAAAGTGCTTTGTGAAAATACAAGGTATCTCATCAAATTAGACTATGAACTCCTTAAAAGCAGTGACCACACACCCTGTGTGGGTCCCAGGGACTAGTGGGTGTTCAACTATTATGCACTGAATTGAACTAAAGGAGTCAATGTTGATATCAGTATAACCTTTTATAAAAATTATTTATTAACTGTTTAAAGGGGAGACTATCCCACTCCCACCAGCCCATTTCCCCCTTTGATGCTCAGTGAGCCAGGAATTTGTTCAAATGCAGACCACACCACCCTCTGGCCCTGCCTTGACCCTTTAGTGTTACCTGCTTCAATTGAGGGAAGTAGGATGGACAGGTGGTCCCAGATGGGTGTCCTGTCCAGTTTGCAATTATTCCCTCTTTGCTGAAAATACCACCACCAATACCAACCAACACAGTTCCTACAGTCTCAATCAATGAACAGCCAAGACCAACTCCTGTGCCCTCTCTCCAACCCAGTGCTGCAGATAGGAGAGAGATTTAAGTCTTTGTCACTGAAGCTAATTTTGAGAGCGATGAATGGGAGTAGGAAGGCATTTAATGGATCATGGAAACCCCACCCTTCCCATGCCCAACCTTAAGTCTCTTGTACCCGATTGTCCACGGGACTGGAGGTGGGTCGCTGCCATGAGGAGAGAGATCAGGGAAGCCAGTCCTGGAAAGAAAAGATTCGCAGTATTATTGGTCAGGCTGATTACTTGGCCTCTCTGTATCCAGCTACTTTACCAATTCAAATGCTAACCTCCACCCTCGCCCATCTGACCCCCAGGCATTCTAGTTCTTCCTCCTAAAAGAGAGGAAAGCCATCCTGCCTTCTTTTTGTCTCTGCTGAGATCAGGCTCTACCCTTGATCTCCTGTGTGCAGGAGAGAGACAGAAAAATAGAACAGAAAGGCTTATCCTGAAGAATGGGAGAAAGAGAGCTGCAGTCAGCTTTCCTATCTTCTACTCCATGTACCCTAATTTCTATTTTGCCTTGTTTCTGGCCAAACTCAGTAAAGGAATACACCCTACTGGTCCTCTCGTTTTAAAGAAATCTCAGGTATAAAACCAGAAAAACGATCTATTAACTCAAGTGGAAACGCTTGGCTATAATTTAGTTCTTTTTAAACCTAGCAAGGAAATGAGAAAACATGGGTCATTTTCTTACCTTGCTTGGGTGCAATTACTGCCCTGGACAATTACACTGAAAAATAAAATATCCTAAATGGCCCCTAGAATAACTCCAAACCTGGCCTGCTGCCCTGTATCCTCCAACTCCTACCCTTAGAGAATTCCCTGCTTCTGGAAGCATGGAAATTTCACTGGTTGAGAGGCTTCACCTCACCTTTGTGACCCTTTTCTCTCGTCACCGTCTCACCATACCCAGGTTCCCTCCCCCAGCAGTCAAAGATCATAGCCAAGTCCAAGGCTTTTGCACACGTTCGTCCTGTTGACTCTGTTCCTGACCCAGGAAACACTAAGCAAAAGCTGTGTGCAGAGACCCCAGCCTCAGCCCTAGCCAGCTGGGAAAAGGTGATCCCACAAGGTGGTCCTTGCGATCATAACTGGCCCCTAGCCCCATATCCCTCCGAGTGTCCAGCGGCCCATCATGACTCCAGCCGGGGTGAGGGGGCAGGACGGAGGTAGCTGTCTGACATGATGATGTCGCTGGTGAGTTGCTGCTCCAGGAACTCAGAGGTCTCCTCAGCTATCTGGCCTGGGATTCGAAAGTCAACAGCAGGAGGCTCCTGCTTGGGGCTGGGTAAGGGTCGGGAAACCCAGGACTCAGAGGCACAGCCAGTCCCCTGAAGGAACTGCAGGAAATTCTCCTCAATGGAGCCCTCCCGGCTAGGTAGCCTCAGCTCCTCCTCTGGAGCTGGCTTGAAGAAGCAGACAAACTGCTTGCTGAGCTCCCCCCGGATCTGCCGGTTGAGACATCCATAGAAGAAAGGGTTGGAAGTGAAGCAAAAGTAGCCGATCCAGGTCACCACACTCTCCACCTGCCCAGTTGAAATGGGCTGAGCACTCAGGGCAACGTAGAGGTGGAAAGAGAAGTAGGGCAACCAACAGAGCAGGAACTGTCCCCCCACAGCCAGGAGAACCACTGCTGCTTTCCCTCCCCCAAACGTCCGGTGTGGGGTGGTCTGGGGGGCCCCCGAGCTGGTGACCATCGTGGAGCGGCTGCTGAGAGATTCAGAGCGTTGCCGGGGTGTCTCCATCCACGTGGGCAGCGGCCCGTGCTGCATGGCAGCCACGCGGGCCACTCGGAACATGCTGCAGTAGACCACAAGGATAAGGAGCAGGGGCAGCAGGAAGTAAAGGACAGCAAAGACCACCACAAAAAGCTGGCAGTAGGCACTGTGGCTCCATTGGAGTGAACAGCCTGGGGGGACACTGGGAGCTCCTTCCTCCCAGGTGACCCTTCCCAACACTGGCACAGAAGCCATAGCCAAGGCCTTCACCCACACACCCACCAGCACAGAGGCTACCAGCCCCAGCGTCATGCGCACCTCGTAGCGCATGGGGTGGACCACGTAATAGTAGCGCTCCACATTGATGGCCGACACTGAGAGGATGGCCAGGCTGACAAAGCACACGCTCAGGAACAAGTAGAGGCGGCAGGCCACCTCCCCAAAGAGGGCGTGGTCAAAGAGGGCGGAGCTGGAGAGCATGGCCAGGGGCATGAGGGTCAGGGCAGCCAGCAGGTCCACCAGGCAGAGGTGGAAGACAAAGACAAATTTTCGGAGGGCAGGCGTCTTGGCAATCACGGCCATCACAGCGGCATTGCCAGCCACAGCAGTCAAGTCCAGCAGGAGCATGAAGAAGAGGGCCACAGATTCCGAAGCGACATCCCGCAGCCCCACCTCCGGGACCCCACTGGCAGTAGAGGGACCTGGGGTTTGAGGGACCCTCCCCAAAGTCGAAGAGTTCCCTGATGACTGGGGGATGGGTGAGGACTCCATGGGGCCGAAAGAGGACACCCAGGGTACCTCCTGTCACAGGCCCATCCCCCATCCTAGTCCAGTGACCCTGGGATGGCGAGCCCAGGCCCAGGCTTCACGGTTTTGTAGGGGGCGCCTCCCACTGGAGCCTCTTGGGCAGGTTTGTCTGCGTACAGAGCGCCAGGCCAGGCAGCTGAAGGATTAGAAGCTCATATCCCCTTTCCGGCCAGAGGTAGCTCCAGGATCTGCCTTGGTGACTGCTAAGAAGCAGGAGACGTGAGAGGTACAGGAGCCTGACCCACTCAACACTTCGCCTTCGGAATGGCCTTCACCTCTTCCTTTTCCATTTCCTTTCTGCCATTCTCATTCTCCATACCCTTCTACCCTTTCCAGAACTGTTAGCCGGGGATTCTAAATCCTCTGTCTCTCCTTCCCAGGGTCCTGCTGATCTCTGGGATGGTGCCTCAGTTTTAGGGTTCCTTATGTAAATTTCCTGATTTCTTGTCTCCTCAGAATGGCAGGAGCTGCTGGGGAGTAGAAGGAGCACAAAATTTAGTTTCTAGTCCCAGTTCTGGGCATTACTAACTCTGTGAATCTTCTGAAGTTCAGTTTCCTCATAAATCCATCTGTAAAATGAAAGGAAGAAGACTTGCTTCACAACTGTGTTTCTGGATCCTGCGTGATTTTTTAATAATAATATTAATGACAAGCAGTAGCATTAATACGGCATTTTCCATATGCCAGGCCCTGTTCTCAGCACTCTACCTATATTAACTCATTTTATTCCTCACACAACCCTATGAGGTAGATATTATTTTTATCTCCATTTTGCAAGGGGTGAAACTGAGGTCTAGAGAGGTTAAGTAACTTACCCAAGGTCACACAGCTAGTAAGCAGCAAGGGCTGGGCACTTACCTGGGCAGTCTGGCCCCAGGGCCAGTACTCTTGCTCACTGTGCCATGCCATATGTGAAGGTGCCCTCCATGCCGGCTGGACTATAATAGGCATCCAGTAAATAGTTGTTGAATTTCAGCTGTCTCTAAAAATGTCTCTTGCTGCTCTGGGGCTATCACCTGAGAAGGGGAGCTGTGCTTTAGGCTCTTTTGACATCACTACTCCCAGCACAAAGAGCTGCCACTTTGGGAATGTTGAGAAGGAGCAGTGAAAATAAAATGTCCCGGCTGGAAGGAAACTGGGAAGCCAGCTCATCCAGCCTCCACTGCTCCCAAAGCCAGAAGTCGCTTTCAAGCTGCCCTCCTCCACCCACTCATGAACTCTTCAAGGCCACTGTGTCCCTCTTGTGGGAAAGGAGCTGCTGCCAACTTCCGGCTCCTCAGATTCCCAAATCTCTGGTCTCTAGAGCTGACCCTTGGAGGATCCCTGACCAAGAACCCCCTTAGTTCTAGACTATTACTGCAGTCACGGAACAAAAAGTAGGGAGGAGGCACTGAGGTTGCTCAGTTTAAAAACCCATCATTTCTATGGCTGCAATAAAGAGGACCACATGGCAAGATGGGCCTCACCCTCCTCCACAGTTACAGCCTTACAGTCACCTTTGGTTTTTGGTGTTTCCACAAACCTTACACCGATCCAACTTCTAACATGCTATGCCTGCAATAGATGCTGGATACAATTTTGTGAATTGAATCAAACTCAAATTGATAGTTGAATCCCTGCCCCCTAGGACAAACTCCAAGAACACTCAGTCAGCCAGCTGTGTGCCAGCCAAGGGACTCTCTTGTGGAAAGGGTAGCCGGGGTTCCTGGACTTGAGGAAGCCCTAACTTTGGGCAACTGCCTAGAGACGTGCCTCTCTCTAGGGATACAGAAAGCTCATTTCACAGTTAACATGCCCACAGAGATTTAGGGTCTGCAGAGAAGATGAAGAGTGGGCAAAAAGTGAGATATCAGCTTCTCATAAGAGTCTACCAGGAAAAATGCCTGAAAGAAATGCTAGGAGAAGCATCCTTCCTCCTTACTCTCCATGCTGCAATTTACCTATCCCTTCTGCCTATGAGGGAAGCCCAGACGACGTGGTTCAGAGTCCCTCCCTGGTGGCTGAAGGAGGAGAGACCCACCATGTCTGGATGGACATCAAGAGTCCCAGACGGAGGGAAGCAGATGTGGTTTCCACGTGGAGCTGGAGGGATGCCATGCAGCCATGATGGAGCCCTGAGCACGAAGGCATTGGACCTTGCTCTTTTTCATAGCCCCCTCAAGCTTGCCAGTGTCTCCACAATGACTCCTAAATGCCAGGACTCCAGTTTTTCTCTTAACAGACAGATCAGTGTATCTGGCTACTTGGCACTCCCTCACTAATGGACGGGGGCTATGGAGGGGAGGGCTGTGGTGTAGCAGTTTCATAGGTGAAACCAGGGTTCCTTACTCTTCTCCCAGGTCATATCATTATGCCTACTCCCCCAACAGATGCTTTCCTTCCCCCACTACTTCCTTCCAACAACGCCCCTCTTACCTCCAGGACCTTCAGTACCTAGAAGGCTGTGCCACTAGGGCCTGAGATCTGGGCCTCTAGCAGGGGCATGGTCAAGTTACAGGATGCAAGATGTGCATAAGTGCCCAGCCCAAGGCCACAGAGGTATTGGGATTCACATGCACCTGTTTTCCAGATCCAGAGCTTCCATCCCAAAGACCTGAGCCTAGCCTTCCTTCCGACAAGAGCATGCCCCTCCTAAGCTAGGGAAGATTTCCGGGGAGCTACAAAACCTCTCCTCAGCAGAGTTGCCCACGCCCAGGACACAGTTGCCCATCAGCCTGGATGCTGAAGGGCCCATTCCTAGAATGTGGGAGACCCATCTCCATGACATGGAGCAAGACAGACCGGGAATGCTGTTTGTCTGCAGGATGTGGGTACTCCTGCCGGCAGGAGATGATCAACCCCCCAGCTCTGGGCTTCAGAGATGCCCACACCCCAATACCGCCTTTGGGATACCTGAGAGCCCATCTCCTGATCAAACTGCTCACCAGAAGGTAGGCAGGGCTGGTCCTTGGAAAGCCACCCTTCTATGGGGATACCTTGGCACTCACCACCAGGCCCTGGGTCTGGCCCCCATTCCTGGCCTAGTCGGCAACTCCTACCTTTGCTGAGCAGTCCCGGCTCCCATGTGATAGCTCCTCTCAGCTGATGCTTCTCCAAAGCTGCTGAAGCCTGAAGCACTGCAGTGAGCGGTGAGAGGCAGCCGGCAAAGCAGAGTGCTCCGAGAGCCTCTGGGTCCTAATGGCCTCCTGCTTCTCACCCAGCCCCTCAGAGTCACTTCTGGAGCAAAAAGATGGGCACCAATGTCCCAGGCAAGGTGCCGGGCAGTGAGCTCAACTCCTCTCACTTCTCCAGGCTGCTGGATTGCATCTCAAAAGTTTCGTGGGACCAGGTAATGATAGGTAGAGGAGACCCTCCTGACCAGCCTGATGAAGTAAAAAAAAAAAGTACATGGAGTCAGAAAATCCAGGTTTAAGGCCTGGCTATGGCACTTACTAGCTGTGTGACCTTGGGCAAGTTACATTTTGGCCTTGATTTCTTAGTGGTTCAAAGAGAAGATAGGAGAGATGCATGGTTCTGTGTGACATCAGAACCAAGGTACTGATGCATCAGGTCAGCGCAGACCCAGGGCCCCAAGGCTTAGGCCAGGGAGGGGACTGAGGCTCCAAGGGATGGTCCAAAGTTTGGTTCCTTTGGAAGCTGCCTAATGCATATGGGGGACAGGTTTAGGAGCAGCACTCAGGTTTGAAGGGCAGCTGAAGGCTTTGTCTTAAACCTGTCCTTGCCACCAAAAAGCAAATTGTTATTATTTGCTTAGATTGTATGTTTATTGGGAGTGGGGCTGTGAGGGCTGATGGAGATTGGCAGGGAGGGGGCAGGAGGATCTAACCTCCCCCCGAGCCACCATGGGAACCACACAACACTGCTTCCTGAAGGAGACAGAGTGGGAGCCAGGGACTCAGGAGTGCTCACACTGATCTGGATTTGTAGGACTGGAGAGAGCTCGGGAGCATCAGCCACTGAGCATCGCCCATCTGTGGCATGATGGGCCTTTAGAGACGCAATGAAGGGGCATGGCTTCCCTCTAGCTATGAAGAAAATGATCATTTCCCCGGGTACATGACTGATACCCAAGGATAGAATCCTAACATTGTAAAGCTGTAAGACGTCCTACAGGCCAAGGTATCCATGTTTCTGAGACCCAGAGAGATAAAGAGATTGCTGAAGGCCACATAGCTCCATGTGGCAGAGCCATGAGCCTAAACAGGGAATTCAGGCATGATACCCTACTCCAGAGCCTTCTTCCCTCAGACTTGCCTATCTAGGGACTCCTTCTGCCTCTAAGAAGGAAAAAGGGAATTCTGGAATTGTTTAACAGGCCCAACCCAAAGAGCCATAAGAACAATGAGTTACCCAAGGACCTCACTGGGATAAGTTGGCTGCCCCAGGTCAACAACAAAGAGGCCACTGACCAACCAAGAGCCGATGCAGCAAGTGCCGCTGTCACCAGCCACCACTTTTTGAGCTCTTATAAGTGCCAGGCCCTTTACATACAGTTTGTTCAATTCTCACACCAATCTATGAGGCAGCCATGACTTGCCCTATTTTATAAGTGAGGAACCAGGTGCCAGAGGAGAAGTGACTTTCCCCAGATCACACGGCTAATAAGTGCCAGAGCTGATATTTGAACCCAGATCTGTTTGAAGTCCAAGTATTTCCTCCTCCTTCTCCCTTGGCTCCATGCCCCCTTCAGTGGCCTGACACAAGACTGTAGACTACAGCCCTAAAAGCTATCTTCATAGAAGTAGTCACTGCCTTCCAGAAAGCCTAAAACAGACCTCAAAACTAGGTATACCTGAGTACAAGAAATTCAAATGGAAATACCAAATTGAAAACCTGTAGACAGCAAAGTGATTTTTATGAAGCCCTGTGCTGTTGTGTTGGCAAGATTAATTTGGCATCAAGCAGATTGTCTGGGATTAGGTAAAGCCTGTCCCTGCTCAGCACCCACATTCTTCCTGCAGGGCCCCAGCCCAGACTGGCATGGCCCCTTCCAAGGGGTTCAATAAGAACCAGAGCATACCTGGACCCATTGGAACAGGATTTTAGAAAGAGCGCTAGACTGGAGTCAGATAAATCTTGGTTCCAGTTTGGCGCCATTCTATTGGTTGGTGGTAAGACCTTGGCCTGTGAGTTGGCTGTCTGTGAAAATGGGCAAAATTCTTCACTTCCAAGCTTATCTAATAGTGATAGGGAGCCTGCAAAACAAACATAGCCTGCCTCTCCGGCTTCAGGGAGCTAGTACAGGTAATCACAGCTCGTGTTGTGGACAGCAGGCAAGGCCTCCGTGTCCTGAAGCCCCTCCCAGAGAGCTACTGGGAAAGGTGGTACCAAAGAGGGAGCATGTTCCAGCTGTTGGAACCATCTTGGCTCAGGAGGTCGGGGTGGGGAACTGCTTATCCTAGCCTGTGGGCAAATAATAAATAATAATAATGGTCATGCTGGCTGGGCACAGTGGCTCACGCCTGTAATTCCAGCACTTTGGGAGGCTGAGGTAGGTGGATCACGAGGTCAGGAGATCAAGACCAGCCTGGCCAACATGGCGAAACCCCATCTCTACCAAAAATATAAAAAGTAGCCAGGCGTGGTGGCACATGCCTGTAATCTCAGCTGCTCAGGAGGCTGAGGCAAGAGAATCACTTGAACCTGGGAGATGGAGGTTGTAGTGAGCTGAGATTGCGCCATTGCACTCCAGCCTGGCAACAAGAGTCTCAAAATAATAGTAATAATAATAAATAATAATAATAATAATAATAATGCTACTAGTTCTTGAAAGCCCACTCTGGGAGGCACTTCTTATGCTGTATCTCATTAAATGATCTCAGTCAGGGTGTGGAGTAGCTACTGACAGCACACCCCCAACTTCACCTGCCAGTCCCTCCTTTTAGTAAAGCTTAGCACAATGGAGGGGGCAAGAAGACCAAGATGGAGAAACTGGGTGTGATCCCCCAAACCACATAAGAAATCCATGGCTCACTATGCTGTGCACATACCCAGGAAGGGAATCCTGTTACAGGACGGGGACCAGGCCCTGTTCCCGACAGTGGCACCCCTCCTGTTGGTATCGTGGCAGGGCCCTTGGTGCTGAGGACTGATCTTTCCATCCTAGACTTGCTTTCTGGTACAGTCCTACCCAACCCTTGCCCACCAGCACCTCGTGACAGGGTCGTGTCTGCCCGTCCACCCTTTTCTGCCCCAGGATGAGACCTGGAAGCCAACCAAGTTCATCTTTCAGTCATCCATCCACTTCTTCAATAAACATTGAAGGCTTCTTAGGTTGCCACTGCCCCCTCCCTAGAGCCCCTCGCCTGCTCAGTGGCACCCACTACCCTCCTTCTCTGCCTTGTGTCAGAATCTGCTCTCAGGAAAGAGGTTGATAAATCCATTTGCACTGATAGCAGCTTAACGTGTTCTCTCTCCCAGGAATATTAACAATTTAACAGGGAACAAAGAGAAGAAGCAGAATGTTGGGATTCCAGCATCGACCAGGGATGTCCCTGAGATCCCACAACATAGACTGCCTGTCAGCCGCCTACTCCCTAGCCAGGCCTCCCCCGCCAAGCTGCTGGCATTGTGTCCTCTTGGCATCCACCTCCATCCACATAGGCACCCAACCCCCCCACCCCTGCCACCCAGACAGCAGGCTCACAGCTGGGACCTCCCCACCACAGCTCAGTTCCTGGCTGCCTGGAGACCCCTGTACCAGTACCAGCCATGCCTGCTTTCCAGGCACCCGCCTCACCCTGCCCACCATCTGGGGGCCAGGCCAAGGGGCCGAGGAGGGAGGCAGAGGAAAGCAGAGGTGAGAGCCTTTCCATTCTCTTTATTCCCCCACAGTCTGGCCCATACCCCCTGCCAGGAGCTGAGATCCAACGGTATATTCAGCCTGCAGCTGCCACTGGTCATGTGAGCCCATTGCTAGGTTACAGGGACCCAAAAATAAATCCTTCCCAACCAGATTAGAAACTGGGGGCCTCGGATGAACCAGGCTCAAAAGAGTGGCAGGAACACCCACAGTGCATGTTTAGGCCAGGCCTGCTATGGACCAGGGCCCTTCCCATGCTGCCCACCTCCTGTCCATCAGCACGGGCTCAATGCTGGAACCCCACAGAAAAGTCCCAGAGAGCTCCTGGGTCTCCTATTTATTAATAACACAATAAATAGGTCTACAGGCTGAGTGACCCTTCCTCACTAGCAATCAGGGTAATATCCTCTGCACGTTCTTCCCATCCAACCTTCCCATCATCAGCCTGTCCCTCCACAGGCCTTGCCCCACACCCAGTGCATGGGCAAAGCAGCATTAGTCATTTGCCCTGTGGCCTGGGGGCCATCTGTCCTAACAGTCCTTTTCCAGACTCAGGAAGGGAGCTCTGGCAGTAGGCACAGCACTAGGCGTATTCGTGTGAGTAGTCTTACACAATCTTTTGTGTTAGTCTCAGTGATCCCATTTACAGATATGGACACTGGGGCTTAGAGAGATTAAGTGACTTTTGCAGAGCCACATAGTTGAGCAACTGGGGTTCAAACTCCAGATCTATACTATGGGGATGAGGCAAGGAAGAAGACAGGGAAGCACAGTTAAGGAAAGGGGAGTCCTCCAAAACCCTTCCCTGGGGCCTGAAAACTTGGCACTTTAATTGCTTTGAATTGGAGGGGTGTGATCTCCCCCTGGAACTGCTTTCACATCCTCCAAACCAGGACACAGCTTACCTAGGTCACATACCTCCTTCCCCGTGGCTTTGGGTTCTGTTCCCTTCTCTGGGAAATACTGTCCAGGACCTGGGTGGGGTCATCCCCAGTGCTGAAGCCTGGGGAGGGAGACACCAATCCCCACTGCTCAGCACAGCCCTGCTTCAGAAGCGTGGCATGGGGCCAGAGTAGCAGAGCTTAAAGGATCGCAGGAGGTCAGGTGTCTAACTCCTGATTTTACAGATGAACAGGCCCGGAGTGGAAAGGTGACTTGCCCAGGGCTAGGCTACACAGCTAGAGAGTGAAGGAGGTGCAACCAGAACCCAAGCCTCTGGAGTCCTGCTC